AATAGTTCGAAGCTAGAAAAATGCTGAGTCGAAGTTCTTTCACACTGCTGCTCATTGGCTTGATGGTATCGGAGGTGAGTCGACAATTTCAGTCGATTTTTTTTTAAATTTTTCATGTTTGATACTTTTCGTGGACAATTTGTGATAATTTTTTCTGAAATAATTTAAAAAATAAAAAGTGTCCTTTTTTCAAGTTCTTCAATTGAAAAAATTCTTCTATTCCAAAAAATGTCCACCGGAAACTTCTAGGGAAACTTTTATTCTATTAAAAACAGTTGAAAACTGTTAATAATACATAGGATCTAAATATTTCTTTTACTTTAACACGTGTTAAGTCGATTTTTGTGATAACTTCGGTACTAGTTTAACCTAGGGGGTAGACACGATTAGTAAATTAGAATCTAATACAGTAAATTAGAGAATATTAGAAAATATTAGAAACTGAAATGTTTGATGACTTTGACATGGCAAATGCTATGCCAATACAATTCTTTATGAAGATTTTTGTTTTGTTTAATGAAACAAAACGGTAAACAATACCGTTATTTGTCAACAAGTCTGTCAATTTCAACGCATTACCACTGTGCATAGTACAGAGACGTAAAATGTTCGCCATTTAGTTTTACATTGCCAATGTATTTCTTTGTGGAGATTTTTTGTTTTGTTTATTTTTTGTTGTTTGTAAATAAATCTGCCAATCCTTTAACATTGCCTCTGTATATTTCGTATGGACCATATACTAAGTACAGAGGCAATGCTAAAAGATAGGCAGATTTGTTTACAAAGAACAAAAAATAAACAAAACAAAAATCTCCATAAGGAAATGCATTGGCAATGTAAAACTAAATGGCGAACATTTTACGAGAATATTAGAAGATATTAGCACTTTCAAACGATTATTAGAAATATTAGAGAAAACTAAATGAAACTTGGGATATATTTCCAAAAATTAGACAGATTTGTGATATTAGACCAATATTAGAATCCGTGTCTACCCCCTAGAGTTTAACACTGGAAATGTAAATATGTCTATGCATTTAATACGTGTTATCTCCGTATTTTGGTGCTAATGGTGGAATTTCGTGTTAAAACGGAAAAAATGACGTCAAATTGTGTTTTAACATAGATGATTGCAAATTCCAATTATATTTTATTGTTTAATAACATTGTTTACTTGTTTGAAATGCTTTCAGCTATATTTTGGAATTATTTTAAAAACAAGATCAAATTAAGAAATAAAATTTTGATTTTTTCCAAGCCCAATTCATTTCTATTCAAAACTTCTGGATGGTTTTAGAACTTAGATTTCAAACCTGGACAAATTTTGAACGTATTGAATGATAAATTTGTGAAAAATAAATGAAACTTCTAGCAGACTTGAGAACTTTTCGCGAATATTCTGTCTCTGGTGTCTGCATTCTTATTGATACTGATCCAAAATTGATATTTTTTCAATTTATAAAATTTTTTCGTGGATTAGTTTCTTAGGCTTGAAAATAACTTGAAATTTCCCGAATTTTTTTCAAAACTTCCAAAAGGTTTGAGATGTTAGATTAAGCCAAATTAAAAATTTCATTTATTTGTTCTGAAAATTGATATTGTTTTAAAAGGCTTGAAATTATTATTCAGGTTTGAAGTCTAAGTTTTAAGTCTGCTAGAAGTTTCATTTATTTTTCTCAAAATTATCATTCAATGCGTTCAAAATTTGTTCAGATTAAAAATCTATCTTCTCAAATCTTTTGGAAGTTTTGAAGAAAATTCGGGAAATTTCGAGTTATTTTCAAGCCTAAGAAACTAATCCACGAAAAAATCTTATAAATTGGAAAAATATCAATTTTGGATCAGTATCAATAAGAATGCAGATTGCAGACTCCAGAGATGGAAAAATTATTGTTTAATTTTTTTTTAATTTGATGATCTTTGATCCAACAATGTCTTTCGGAAACATGTGAGTTCATATTGACTGAACAAAAAAATTGAAGTGTGAACTAAATAAAATTAATCACTGAGAATTATTTTCGAAATTGCAACTGATAATATATATTGGCAACACATATAACCAGAACTGGTGATATTTCTAATACTAGTAAATAGTGGGTACAACTATAACACGAAATAATGGGATAACTCAACAGAAATTACATTAGAATATTCTTTTTCGTGATAACTTTTTTCGTACTGTGGCTAACTCCAAAGTAAGAACGTATTTACAATAGTACGAAAATCTGTGTTGGTGGCAAATCGGCATATTTGATACCGATATTGGTGGTATTTCCAACGGAAATATTTACGTTTGGTGTTAAATACATCCGTTAGTACCAATTTTCGGTGATAATTTACGAAATAGTGGTAAATGTAGGAATAGTACTTCAGAAAAGGTTCTAGTGTTATTTTATCACTAAAATTGACTTAACACGTGTTAAAGTAAAAGAAATATTTAGACCCATAATGTATTAATCTCATCCGTTGTTCCCATTCCAAATGTATCACTTTGATTCTATTTCCACAGTTCTTAATCGGGGATGTGAGCGGAGCACCAACCAGGAACGGTAAGATTAAAGTTTCATTTATTTATCCAGTTTAACTCTTAAATTCCATATACAAAGCACCTTGTAACGAAGATATGGGAACCTCATTTATGCTAAACTTTTCATACATATTTTAGTAAACGAAAAAGACAAAAAGGGAGAGACAGCTTTGCATAGAGCTGCTTTTGCTGGTAATTTTGGACATTTTTTTTTTATTTGAAAAAGAATGTTTTGTTCAATCCGGTTCATTGATCTATGAATATTTTTCATATTCTTTCAGGCAAAGTGAAGGAAGCTCAAAACCTCATCGCTGAAGGAGCCGACCCTAATATTAAAAATAAATTTAATGAGACACCTCTTCATTTAGCTGCTGAGAATGGTAATGTTGAATACTTGTTTTCATTAAATAAAAGATTGATTTGATCTTTTCCATCGATCTGAATTATTTTTCAGGTCACAAGAGCGTCACTGAAGTTCTCAGCCGTAAAGCAAAAGAATTTAATATTAAAAATAATTTGCATTACACACCTCTTCATTTGGCATCTATGAATGGTAAGGTTGACTAAATAAGATATCCCGCCAATCTCTTT